AAAAGAACCCATTGAAATCTGCACTAAAGGAACCTGTACATAAGACCACCTGCCTATAAAGACCACTTTTCATGTTTCCCTTGATTGGTCTTATGTACAGGTTTCAATGAACTGCCTTTAAGCTGTTGCAGGTTCAGAATAGATTTTTTAATTTAAATGGCCTGACCTCATCTAGGCAATTTATGACCATCCTGTTATGATTCAATTCAAAACTGGAAGTGGCGCTCAAGGCAGCGAGGGAAGGCTCACCACTCGTCACCTCCGAGCGAGAAAGGGGTAGGAATTCCGCTAAGCCTCGACATCCAGAATTTGGGGAGAGTGGGAGCAGGGGGTTGTGCTAGGATCAAGGCCTGGGGTGCCACTAACCTGCTTTGTTCCCTGATACATCTGTACATAGTTTATGAAATATGATTGACAGACTCGTGGGCTGTAGCAAAAAAAAAAAGCAATTTTTAAAAATGCATCAAGAAATTGATATTGTGACATGATGCATGACTTGGTACATGTAGAAGCTGTTGAGGGTTAACAATAGATTGCCAAGCCCTAGGTTAGCACTTAATAATAATAATGATAATAATATTAATATGTTCGGTTAAATACAGCACTCTCACACAATCGGTTTCACAGCGCTTTCACAGCGCTTTACAAGGAGAAAACGGTTCCTCTTTTGTATATAAACACTTTGACCACAGATGAGCATGGTCAACCATGTTTTTTTAGAGAGATCCTTCTATGAAATAAACTCTTTATAATCAATCAATTTTAATAATGCATTCTACAGACTGAAATAAAAAATGAAAAGATGTTCAGAGACTATAATGAAAGCTTGCATATTGACATCTCTAGACAGGAAAGATAGCCTTGGAATATAAAGGTCAATGTGGATCCTAACAATCAAATTGCACCTAGTACGTTTGGCAGTGGCCGTATTTGTTAAAGGTAAAGACCAGTTATGGTCATGCAATTGCATTGTGAAAGAAACGTTGTGGAATCGATCAGAAAAGGTTGATCATCTAGCATCTAGCATCTGCAAGGTTCTGGAATCATCAAAATGATAAGAAATTTGGCCCATTCTTCGTAAAGTTACAAGCACTATACACAGAAAGATGTATATGGGACTACCTTATATCTCTCACAGACCATGAGAGAAACAAATTTACCAAATATATGAATTAGTAGGCGGTTTCCCGGCAATTTTTTTATCATCATGTATTAGTCAAAACATATTCTTTCACATGATTGGTAATGAGAGCTTCCATTTCATTTTTTTTTAAATTGGGGCGTTTCCAATACTGGTCTTTACCTTTAACCAAGAGGTCAAATGGTCAACCCCCTTAAAAAGATTTTTTTATTTTCCTATAGAATTAAAGATGTAAATTTTGAGTTATATACCGGTAGGCCTAAATCTTTATTTCACCTTACATGTACATCTATTCTTACTTCATCCTCTGATTTGTGATTTCTTTTCTTTCTGTTTACTAATTTCTAAAGTGACTCTATCATATGAGAGTCAAGTGACAGTTTGTTTGGTTTCTTTTTAGATTTAGATAGTTGATTTGAAACCTCCAAACTATACACAACTATTTCTGTTCCGTCATTTATTAATTGAATAATACTGATATAAAAACACATGCTTATATTGATTACAAAAAAACAAACCATAGATTACACTTGTATCACAAAAGTTATTATACGCTTTAAAAAAATCATAATTAACTTTTTTCTAGAGGTGTTACTTTTCAACATTTGCCCTCCATAATATTTCCTTTAAATATATTTGGAATATGTTTGTAAAATACATTTTATTACTCTGCTCTTTCTGGATATGCCACTTATTCATATCAATGTACAGATCAATACCCATGAGTGAATACCGAAATGAAACCAAATCTTTTATTTAGTGGACCATGAACATCATGTTCTTTTAAAGTAACTGCAATGTTGCTCTGGAACAGGACACTTTGAATCCTGTGAATTTTAAATCTATTTTTCCTGATTTTTGCATTGCTTCCAAACATTTGAAACCCAAGTAAGCTTTGAGGGATATTAGGAACTCTCAGAAGAGACCACAGACAGGTGTCACTGCTACCTTAGATTCTCAAGTTTCTTCTTCTCCCTTCCTGGTTCTATATCCTTTATAAATGTTTGTATAAAGGGGTATCTCACTGAGCAGCGAATGCTTGCGCAAGTAGCGAATTTGGGTTTTCGCCAGGGTTCGTAAAAGGTTGCAAACGGTTGCAAGAAAGTTCGCAAACAGTTTTCATTGTCGCAAACAGTTTTTCTTGTTGAATCAATTTTTTTTTTTGCGAATTTATTTTTGCTCAAACAGTTGCAGGCATTTGCAAAACAGTCGTAAGCGTTTGCAAAACAATCGTTTGCGTTTGCAAACGGTTGCAAGACGGTGTCACTCTTTGTTATCGTCAGTTCTCTTTGTTTCGCCAATGCTAGCGACCATGTTATCATATGGTTCCTTTATAAAATCGACCCATTGAGTACCAGGAGTTATCAAAAGGTCCCAAACGTTCACAAATAGTGGCAAAGGATTGGCAAATAGTTGCTAATCTTCGCAAAAAATGTCGCTAAAACTTGCTTACAGTCGCTGATAGTCGCCAACTGCCTTTCGCAAACACTTTCAGGAACATGCGCTCAAATGTTGCTAATTATCGCGAAACGTCACTAAAATTCGCTGATTTTTGGCCAACATTCGTCAGAAAAGTTGGCAAATCCAAATTCGCAATGTTCATAAGCTTCCGCCGCTCAGTGAGATACCCCCTTTAGTAATCTGTTGTTAACCTTATTTTACGATATTAAGTTGAAGTTTAAGATGCTTAAATCAAAGGATATTCTACACTGCAGCTTTTAGGAGCATCCCTATAAAGGTCACTATAAAGGCATCTAATCAAGGGGCTAAAATAAAGAAATGAATTTATCATTCTTTATATCTTCTGAGAAGGAGAGGAGCAAGATGGGAAACTGGATGATGGTGAAAGTGTGTATACCCTTGAGATGTGGATCCTACCATCCATGAGAGTTGTTATTTTTTGCACATGATGCCAATATGACAGTGCCTCTGCAGAGCCCATGAGCATAGGTATTCATCTATAATATATTTATTGCTTTTAGTAGCTAAGTTCACACGACACTATTGTAGTTTAAAGCTTCAATTTTACCAAACCCCCTAACTTATAAACCATGATCCACTAATAATGATGAGGGTTCGGACAGGACCGAAACAAAAAATATTCAACTAATTAAAGTATAAGCCATGCAAGCAGACATACAAGCCTGCATAACCTCAAAGTTAAGTGCATCCACACGGCACAAAACTTTGTATTAGGAAACCCGCTGATCGTGGTTATCGGGCTAACCTTATGAGGGCACTTCGTTTATAACTTTGAGTAAACTTGAAGTTTTGCAATGACAAGTGTGTCTGCACAATAAAAAACTACAAGATAACTTCAAAGTTTAAAACCTTGACTTAAAACTTGAACTTAACAATTGTCAAAAACTACAAGATAACTTTGAAGTTTAAAACCTTGATTTAATACTTAGACTTAACAATTGTTGTGGGAACTTAACTAGTATCTATCTCCGAGATTAAGTGACCTCTTATCAGCATCAGATCTTGATCATTCACACGATATATCTTCTGACTGATTCTGAGTCATCTTAATGCTCTACCCACCCACCTAACAAGAAAAAGAAGAGATGGAAGGAAGAAGAGAGGGAGAGTGGGGATCTTGTTCCCGTTTTCTTGAGATGGCTAATTCAATTTCTAACACACTACATGATTTGCAGTTTCTGCAAACAAATCTATAGGCCTGTCTTCATCAGCTCGAGATTGCCAAATATCCCGCTATTTGAACTATCCCGATCGCAAATTATCCAATTAATTTGCGTCTTCATCAGCCCGAACTCGCAATTAGCGGATATTTGGTCGAGATAATCATCCCAAGATATCTTGGGCTAGTTTGCAGAATATCCAGCTATTTGTCCGGTGCGTCCTCACCAGCCCGAAGACTTGCACTATGCACGAACGCTGAGCAAGATATCTTGAGCTAATTTCTTGAGCTCGAGTTTCAAGTTTTGAGGTCTTGAGCTGATGAAGATACAATTTGTAACTTCGGGATTATTTCCCAAATCAGAAAATAGTGGGTTATTTGGCAATCTCGAGCTGATGAAGACAGGCCTTATGACAATGCAACTCTAGTAATCTAAACCAGTTTGTAAGTGTTGGTGATTTAAGTTATTTGAAAATCATTGTATGTGAGGACAAATTGCATCATCACCATTATTTCTGTTATTTTGAATATCATTTTATTGGGGAACAAACAGAAATATTATACATAATAAGACTGAAAAAGGTTACATAGAAGGCTACATAGGAACCCCTCAAAATGTATAAAAAGCAACCACCAGCTCTCCAGGCATTATAAAAAGCATCTCAACAGCAAGACTGATGAGACAAGTGTGATGCTGTACTCTGAATGATTATTTTTTAATATGTTTACAAATAAATGATCTATATGTTTCATTCTGACTCTCCTATCTGACCATCTCTCTTTAACACTGTTCCTCTCCTGTCTCTCTCTACCTCTGTCTCTACGGTCATCTTCAAAATTAAACCTCGTGTCTACTCCGGTGTCAACTCTTTCTTATGATCATCGCTCTTTCTGCGAAGCTCCTGCTGAACTTTGGAACAAACTACCTTTAAATATCAAAAACTGTCAGACTATTAACCAATTCAAAACTTGTCTTAAGACACACTTATTCAAAAATTGCTAGTGATGATTAACTTACATGTACTCTATTCACATTGATGTATATTTCATATGTATTGTAATTTGTAGGTTTATCACATTTTCTTTTCATTTTGTTTTGTTTAATATGTAATTGTTTATCATTATCGCTTAGAGACTTTTCGGTGGTAAGCATTTTATAAGCACCGTTTGTATTATTATTTATTATTCTTCACTGTCTCTCTCTCCTCCCTGCTACAGCCCCATCCTGCAGCAGCGATCCCTCTCCGTCAAGACCCCAAAGCTGTCACCTCATCACGGCCAGGGTACAAAGATAGTAGTATGGTGGTAGACAGAAAACCTCCTTGTAAGTATACGTGTCAAAGGAAACACTGACGTGGCAATCGACTATGAAAAGTTTTGACTAGAATCGGACAACAATTATGAAAGTTATGAAGTTTTGAAAGTTGTAATCATATGTGTATCACTGTCCTGTCATAGTTTATTTAGATGTTTGTATTGTATTACTTTGTAACCAGTGGAAACCAAATTTCCTGATATGGATAATAAATGATTATACTTATACTTATACTTATACTTACTTATACTATAGGTATGGACACTTAAAAGTGGCTGAATCAGTAATGTCTATATGATGTAGTGGCAGACAACTTTCCCATTCGTTCCAACACACAAAATGAATAAAATTTCAATTTGGCAAAAATGTATGACTAGGGAGGGTCTATTCTCTTTAGAGGACCTACAGTAAAGAAAACGACTGAGAGGAAAGAGAAGAAGAAGACTCCAAAGAAGGCACCCAAGAAGCCAGCAGCCAAGAAATCAACACCAAAGAAGACGCCCAATATATTTTGACCATAATATATTTTTGGTAGTGCCTCAAGGGAGAAGGCCACGTAGGAGAAAAACAGAAATTTATGATATTTTTGTACACTAACTGGAGAGTTGTCAGTGACTACGTGACAATCCATCGACTGAACTGCCAATTTGAGCTTTGCGTAGACTTAGTGATGTCATATTTCAAATATTCATAATGTTCTTATTATTGGCCCGACTTTTTTCAAACTTGTACCATTCTGTTTATTTCTTTTTTTTCTGCTTTCATACAAAAGAACTGATTACAAGGATATGATTGTAAACCCTTTAAAGCAGGCTTCATGAAACATTTGGTCTTTCAGCAAGACTAGGTACATACTAGGTTTACGCAACAGTTCTTAATGTATTAGTTAAACTCAGGGTTTGATATTTAGAAGTTATCTTGTAGTTAAAGCCTCTCTTAAGTGCTGGGAGCCAACCAAATTTGATGGCAATCATTCACTTCAATTGTATAATGAAGAATGAAATTTAACACTGACTTCTGCAAGGATTTTCAGAATAAATGTGTTTGAAGATGAATATTGATAAAAGAATGCAAAATTCAGGTTTTCTGCGTACAACACAAAACCCAAGTTATGTATTTTTTCATCAATATTCGTCTTTAAACATACTTAGGAGTTGAGTGTTATATAACATCCTCTTTCACATCATTATACAATTTAAGTGAAATTTTGCCATCAAATTTTAAAGCAAATTTGGGCTCCCAACACTTCGAGGGGCTTTGTGTATGTACTCGTAGTTTCTAGAACTCAAAAGTTCACTCAAAGGTCGTAACCACAAGTAATTGTATGGTTTAATAACACAAATATTCTGAGCAGTTGGGAGTTGGTTGCTGTTTAAATGCAATGAACCTAGAGATTTTGACAGATGGTAGAACTTTACAATGACTGCGTGTGTTCAATGAAGTTTAAAGACCTTCAATACTACTGGGCCAGAAGGGATTAGACCACACAGCGAGGTCACTGACAGGTGGCTATCTCATTATTAACTCAGCTCTCAACTAACATTAGAAAAAGAGGATCATGGGGGACCAACAGGCACCGATTGGGGAAGTTTTCTATATAGAGGGAGCAAGTAGCTACAAGTAGGACAGTGGGGCTTTAAAACTTCAAGCAGTCATATGTTTCAATGCTATGTGAATTTGCATTGTTGTTGGAGGGTCATCAATTGAAACTTATAGCCCATCTGTACTAGTGTACAGGAGGGATTAGAACACTGCGCAAGGTCACTGGACAGTTGCCTGTTATTTCATCAAATCAGCTCTCAATTAACATAAGAAAAAGAGGATCATGGGAGACCGATGGTCAACGATTAGGCATTGTTTGGGCGCAAGTAGCTATAAGCAGTGCAGTGGGCCTTTAAAGGTTTTAACTACAACTTTACCAAGCAAATAGTGGCATAGGTTCTTTAAAGTGAGACAAATCTAGAGGAGTTTATATGTTGGAACATTTGTAGTTTATCTGGACTTCTCAGGGAACCCAGCCAAGCTCAATGAACCTTTGGATGGCCTGAAGGAAAACAGATATTCTCAAGACCGAAACCATTCGGGTAGAAGTGAGACCTTAGAGACGTCAGCTAGTTTTACAAGTCAATTTTGAACCGTTAGACTTCAGGGCGAGATCAGGCGAGAACTTCAAGTGAGATCTTGTCTCCACCCCTAAGTGTGAAGACAATGCTCAAGAGATTTCCAATCGACATTTTATACACTTCTGCTTTACAAATTTCAACACAAATGCTATTTTAAATTTCTTAATTGAATTAATGCAATGGCAATTTCTTTTCTATTTTTGACTTCAATTTAAAGCAGATTCCTCAGGACAAACTGATGGAAACATTCTTGTCTCAGCAGATTTGGAGATTGATATTAAAAAATATTGTTTTAATCAGTCCTTAATTATTTTATCACCTTGAACCTTATCTTGAACATGGTTCTCTAATTTTGGCATGCCCTTTCCTTCCTAGTCGTACCATGTTGTAGCTTTTTGCTCCCTTTAGATCAGTTTATGAGTCAGTAAACCTATTTTGGTGAAAGAGGAATTGGGGTTATAGTAATAAACTTGTCAGGTTAACTCTAAAACTAGAAATTTTTGCAACATTAACCTTTCATGAATCATTGCTGACTGTCGATTTAATGGCAAGAAACATTCAGCTAATTTACATTTTGCTAAGAAACATTTTGCTAATTATCGATGCCCAGATTTACATGGAAACAGTTGGATGATATTTATTTGGTTGTTTTATAAAATCAGTTATTATTAATAAGAATAGAGAATGGATATAGTACATGCGTGTAGAAGGACATTGGAGAAAACATGGCACAATACTAATAAAAAAATGGGTAGCAGTACTTTAGGTTCGAAATGTGTCAGGTTTGTAGTTACAATTGCTGTTGGAAGTACAGTATGAGTGGAGAGAGTAAGATTGAAATGTGAAAGGTTTTGAGTTTAAAGAGTTTAAAGGAAGTAGTAGAGGAGGGGAGGGTTTACAAGTTAGATATTAAAGGCTTAAAGTCTGAAAAGCTCAAACGGAGGGGAGGGTTTAATAGTCCATTAATTTTGTCAAAGGATCATAGCCTGCAGACACGTAGGATGCAATGAAGGAGGGGAGGGTGAGGGATGTTAACATAAAAGGCCTGTAGCCTGCAGCCTGCAGAGGGCTGGGAAGTTGTAAAGGAGAGAAGAGTAAAGAACTTTAAGTAAAAGGGCTCTAGCCTGCAGTGGTGTAGGAAGTTTTAAAGGAGGGGAGGGGGGTAAGGGATGCAACCGAAGATGCTGTAGAAAGGTCACGGTGACCCCACTGCTTTCTGAAAGGAAATTCCAAGGTTTATGGATGGCGCATGTGACAGATAAGCTGGCCGGGGGCAGGCGATTATCCCCGCACCCTGGTGTAAAACACGCTACAAAATCCATCTCTTACGCATTAGAGATGAAAAAGAGATCAGGTCCGAATCCGTAAATTGTTTGGATGCCTGAGCGGCTGTCACGCTTGTTCATTCTGTGTGGTTCGTGGCACGGTAATCACGATAGGAGACGCAGATCCTCCCCTTGTGTCGCAGATTTAATCTAAGCGTGGGGTAGGGGGAGGGGAGCGTGCCACTCTCAATTTCCTCTTACAATCCCGTGGTTGGGTAGTAAAGGATCCGAGAGATGGAATGTCTCGATGGAGGGTGTAGGTAGGAAGCACAGCTGCTCTAATAAGATGTCTTGAGATGTTCATGCCTCAAATCTATCTTCTCGTCTTTTCTTCGTACTTCTGTTCTTCCTTCTTTGTTGATGTTAAGGAGTATCTTTTCTTCTTTAAGTCTGTGATCATAAATATTCTACTATCTTTCTGTTTCATCAAAAGTTGTGATTGTCTGTCCCATCTCTTAGTTCAACCTGTTTGATCTCATCTTTGCAAATTCTCTCTTCATCACTGGATATCTTTCTAAAAGAGAAGACATTTGCCCATTTACACCTTCCTGTCCTTCAAGCTTCTCTAATGCAATATTTGTTTTATTCTTTTATTTGTGTTATTTTCTTTTTTCCTTTTTCCTTTTTTAATTTTAATTTTTAAAATCTTTGAAAGACCTGTCCTTTTCCTCCTACTTATTTCTCTCCCTACTTCTTGTCCCTATCGCCCTACATGTACTTAAGTCTCCCTCTCCCTACTTCTTTCTTTCTCTCTCTATTGCTTTCTAGCTCCCTCTCTGTACTTCTCTATCCATCTCCCGTATTCTTTCTCCCTCTCCCTACTTCCATCTCCTCCCAACTTCCCCCTCCCTCTCCAAGCTCTTTCCCCCCTCTTCCTTCTTTGCTACTTCCCTCCCCCATTTGCTACTCCTCTCTGCCTCTCCCTACTATCTCTCTCTCTTCATCTGATTACTTCTCTCTCTCTTTCCCTGCCTCTGTCTCCCTTCTCTGGTCTTCTCTCTGTCACCATCTTCTTATTCTCACCCTTCCAAGTTCCCACTCTCCCTGTCGAACCTAGAACATCTTCACCATCCTATTTGATTCTTAATATGAATTGATAATTGGGTACAGCCTTCTCCAACCCCCTTCCTGCCCACCCTAATCTCGTTTGCATTGCTCTCTTAGTCTGGATATCATTCTCCATTCATTAGGATTCACATGAAAGCTTTTGGCAGAAAGGAGGCACTCTTTTTATATATCTTGTGTCTCCCCAACATTGAACCACTCCATGGTTGCCAAAAGAACATGAGAAAACATTAAGGCAAACTCACGATTTCTCTATTTCCTATAACCAAGATATAGGACGTGATGTAGTTAAACACTTAAGTTCTACCACAGTCCGATGTCTGTACTGTTTAATAGTAATCAATGATTACCATCTACATGTACAGAAGTAGTTTTTATTACATTGTGATTCAGATGGATTAATAAAGGCTTATCAACTTATTTTCCTTTATCCAGGGAAAATGTTACTGCCTAAGTGAATTATAGTGATATGTGTCCGTGTAGTGTCACATAGAAATGTAAATTCAAGAATTAGTATGTTCACAAAAACTTGAATGCCTACAAAGTAAGTGTTGTCCAGGAAGGCATTACTTTTAACTTTGTAAGAAGAGATAAGAAGAGGACATTTCTGCTGTAGCCTTTGCCCCTTTGCCCTGTCTCTTCATCTGTACCTTAACTAGGATTATCCATACATCCATCTTCAGGAGAGTTTATTTATTACTTATCATAAGAAGTATGGGCCCTCTAACATCTTTTAAATTATTATTATTTTATTATTTTTTTTGTTTTGAAAATCATACTTTATTGAGGAAAATGGTACTGTTGTATTTACTTCTATAAATCATACAAAATACAAGAGACAAAACAATACAAGGTCAATGAGAGGAAGCGATACAGAGACACAGTGAAAGTGCGAGTGGGAAAGAGGGAAGAGTATATAAGAATAGTACAGGGAGAGAAATAAGATGCAGGGAAAGAGATAGAGAGAGCAGGAGATTACTATGAAGTATTAAGCGTCTCCTGTGCCTGGGAGGTAACCCTTGAATATCTCTTTCCAGTATAACTGATTTGGGGTGTGCAGGTGGACCATTACACCAGGGTTTCCCCTACTCTTATACGAATAGTGTAGGGAGTTCTTAATGTGCAAAGGGGGTGACTATCCTCTACGTGGCGCCTACTTGTAACGTCCTATCCGAGGGACGGAGTGTTTTCCACTTAACATAGCCTGGGTCTATGAAACGGAATGATAACACATAATGCAGGCTTCAGTCTTCTGCCTGGGTTGGATTCAAACCCATGTTCTTTGGTTCGACAGACAGACGCTTTACAGACTGAGCCAAGTCGCCTCTCAACTATTTAAAAACTATTCTGATGAAGATGATGATGATGAACAGCATTTGTATGGCGCCAAATATTTGTTTTAAAAAACATCCATGTAGCCTATTTATATTTGATCTTTGTATTATGTTTGTCTGTTATTTGTTATACAAAATGCCAAATAAAATAATAATAAATAATAATAACATTCATTCTCTTTTTGTTTTCATCTTTCAGTTGTAAGGGATCCTCTGACCCTATCAGTGGACTTCATGGTGAGGTACGTAGGGATGATTGCCTCAGCTCAGGGTCTTCAACACTCACAAGAAGACCACCTTGATCTAATCCAAGCCCTGGACCAAGCACAGGTAAGACCAGGACCAGGGGCCCATTTCATAAAACTTGTTATCTATAACAAATGCTAAATTTATATGACAAATCTTCTCTCAGCCAATCAGATGCCATTAGTTCAGTAGCTTATAACAATAGCTTGTAAATTGCTATTGATAACAGGTCCCAGGTTCATGTTCAGTAAAAACAATGGTAGTATTATAGTAGCTTGATAATCGGTGGATTCAGTGCTCATTCAAAGTGTAACCATTCTGTCAATTCGTCCCCATTATTGCCATCATCACTGCCATCATCATCATCATCATCATCATCATCATCATCATCATCATCATCATCATCATCATCATCATTATTATCATCATCATACATATGCCCAATTTTCAATAGAGTGACCTTCTGCGCTAAGTGCCCTTTGGTAAGGCATTGATCCTCATTACCATGTCTTTTGGAGAGGACCTAAAGCTGTGGTCCTCTGGTTGCTTACTAACAAGCATTTATGCTTCCTTAGCAGTCAGGTAAAATAACCACCACTACACCTCTTTTTCTTCTTCTTCTTAATCTCATCTCTCTGTTTCATTCATTGTCTATCATCAGATGGATGGGCAGTTCAAGTTTGCGGAGAGTGACCAGGACTTTGTCACTTTGAATCTTTCCAAGTATGGCATCAAGATCCTGGAGAAGATTCCTCAAGATAGATATCAGATGACAGCCGGTATCAGACCGCCCCAGGTTCGTCATAATAATAATAATGATAATATTGTAAATCTCTGTGTATAAGGCGCACCTGTGTATAAGGCGCACCCCTATTTTGAAGGGGGGAGAAAAAAACACGCGGGAAGGACTTTCATCTAACATCGAGGTGCAGTTGAAGGCGCAGATTTGTGATTGTGAACTTGTCACAAATAAAAGTAACAATGTCGTTTTTAGGAGAATGTGTAAGATCATTAATGTAAATTAAAAACAGTAGAGTACCTAGGATAAAACCTTGTGGTACGCCGAAGCAAAATTGGAGGAATTATTATTATAAACTACATATTGAGATCTATTAGAAAGATTACTTTCAAACCAAGATGACAGACAAATTTGAGTGTTGTTCTAGTTTCCGAGTGGTGAGTCAACACACCGATTACTGAGCTGGGAGACATTGCCAGGCATAGCGCCATAAATCAAAACTTGTGTACCTGTGTATAAGACGCACCCCCGACTTTCAATTTTTTTCGGCGACAAAAAAGTGCGCCTTATACAAGGAGATTTACGGTAATAATCTTATTTACCCAGGATAGCCTCATTAATCTTAATACTGCTCTATCTGAGGGCCCCGCAATCACATTATTACCCTAGCTTTATGGTTATGATTATAATAATAATAATAATAATAACATTTAGCTTTTATATAGCGCTTACCACATATGTCTCTAAGCGCTTTACAAATATTCTTTATCTCCATCTAAACCTTCAAGTAATATTGTGACAGATATCTATTTTATACTTGGAGCTTTCACAAAGCTTTGGTTAGTTTTATAGGCATTTTTAAGAGTACCAAACTTTAGAATTTTAAGTGTTTTTTTTAAAACTTTTAACATCAGTCACCATTGAAAACGGAAATATCTCATACCTGCTAATCAGAAAGCCTGATGGATATCAGGGATGCAATGTGACCAAAGAAACAAACACCCAACAGTGATCAAAGGTTGATAATTCCAAAAAGTATTTTATCAAAGAGCAATGAAAATGAAATTTGGTGATCAGATCTGAACTAAAAGACGTGGTCCCCCAAGTTTCAAATCAGACCCTCAGACGCAGCGAGGGTGAACTGGTGAAATATTTACATCTTCTACTTTCTTTCAGTAATTGATTCATTATATTACAACTTGTGCTGGATGAAGTATAGTCATCGTCAAAACAATGAAAGCTTTTCGGCATGCTTCTATTGAGTTAGACCTTAATTCAGAGTTTTTTCATTAATCACTTTTCAGTCCTTTCTACACGTCTATCTCTGTCTTTGTGTGTGTCCTGTAGTCATGCTAGGGTTAGCAAACTTTTCACATTAACCACTTGACTGCTATTGGCTTAAAACGCGTTCATACCCCCTGTGTTACTGCATTTTTGTACTGTACAAAAACCTGACAAAAACTGTATACTGTAAGCAAATAAATCTGGATTCTTTTGGGAAGAGCGCCATCTACTGTTCAAGACCTGTATAACATCATTGCAGTGCTGATTACACAGTAGGGCTTGGCATTATGCAGTGCTATGGTCTTGAAAGTGCAATGCCCTAAGCACGTACATGTACGTGGGTAGCAGTCAAGTGGTTAAAAGCATTGTTTAACAATGGTAAATCTGAGATGCACGGCCCTACGTGTTATCAGTGTCTATGATATGGTGTAATATTGAAGCCCTAAAAAAATTGCGCTTCAAAATGAACAAGAAATGCCCCCAAAAAGTAAAAATCTCTGAGTGACCGGTTTTACCATACTCGTGTTCCCCAATAGACTGTAGTGTTTAATATGAAAAAAAGTAGGAAAACGCAAAATTTGGTTTCGATTTCCTATCATAAATATCTTGATAATCAGACAGACAATCGGCTTGTAAAAGTCATGGGGTTCCTGACTGACCTAAAGGTTTATAATTATCATTGCAGCATGAGCTAAATCCAGGATTGTTTTTCAGAATCTGGGACAAAGTTACCCATTCCCTTTAACGTTCATCTAGAATAATTGTTTGCTCTTATATTCTGTGTTTGTGTTCATCTCTAAGGTGGTAAGATGGAGGCATGGTCTGGTAGAGATCATCCGAGCCGTCCACTATGAGGACAGTCTTGGAAGGCACCTGATGGCGGTCAAGCTAGGTCAAGAAGGAGAGGAGGTCTATGACTGTCTACTCTTTGAATGTACTCATCAGGTAGCTAGATCTTCCCTCTCCCTCTCCCCCTCCCCCCTCTCTCTCTCCCTCTCTCTCTGTCTCTGTCTCTGTCTCTCTTTCTCCAACCCCCTCTCTAATAATTTTGTTTACTCTACCCCCCCCCCTCTCCTCACCCCCTCTATCCTTTCCTCTAGTCCTCTAATAGTCAAGTATCTCTAATCTTTGATATGCCTCTCCTTTTTCTTTCTCTCCCTCTCTCTCCACCACTCTCTCTCTCTTTCTCATTCACTAAATTTATGTTCACTACATACATGTTCTCTGTCTTTGAAAGTGTATGTCTTAAATTTGACATTAGTCAAATACTAAATTTTATACCTCTATCTCTCTCTGTGTCTGTCTGTCTCTCTGTGTCTGCCTCTTTTCCCTCACTATATTTGAATTCTCTTCTCTAAATGCAATCATCATGTATTTATATGTACATCTTGAACGGAGATGAGGAGGGGGGGGGGGGGGGAATCATTCAACTAAATGTACATGTACATACACATACATGGTGACTGCATCTATAGAACAGAAATTATTATACAGGGTCGAGAGATAGACTAAGGACTTTTAAGGTTCTAGATAATAGAAGATCTAGATTCATATCTTTCTTTCTTTAATCCAAAATTGTAGGTTACAAATCCCTTCAGGGCAGAGTTTATCAGTTTTATCTCTGTCTATTTTGTTGGTGTTTCTGTAAAGGTCGTGACTGACTCACTGAATTTACCCGTCAAGTGTTTGAGGATTAGTGACTTGGTTGCCCAAGAGAGTTGCAAAGCTGGTGTGCATGTGCCAAACAAAACCTCTGATAACTCTGGTATTTTTATTGGGCCACATTTTGACAGGTGGATTGTGAGTGGGTATTTCATCAAATGCACAACTGCCATCTTTCAAGGGCTTTAGGTCATAAATATGTGTATGTGATTTTCTAGCTTTTAAAGCCACACCGTCTTACTGGTAGCTACTTGCTCCCTCTATATAGAAAACAATGTCTAAGCGGTGTCCATTGGTCCCCCATGATCTTCTTTTTCTTTTGTTCATTGAGAGCTGAGTTGATAAGATAACCACCTGTTGGTAACCACGCTGTGTGGTCTAATCCCTCCTGGCCAAACTAGTACAGCCGGCCTTTAAATAACAGAATATCTCTTTTATTAGGATAGATGCATCAGTGGTTATAATAATTTTTTAAAATTTATTATTTGATGTTCTTTGCTTTCTTGTAGCCCCAAGCAACACAAATGTGCAAGTGCCTGGAGCTGCTTTTCAATGCTGTGTGCCAATTTACTCCTCTGTGATACCTCTTGACACTTAAAGTGCGGTGTTCCTACCTGCTTATTTCAAGATTGGCGTTAGCGTTAACACCAGATCTGACACCTTATTTCAAGATTGGCGTTAGTGTTAACACCAGATTACCCATCTGTGACACCTTATTTCAAGATTGGCGTTAGCGTTAACACCAGATTACCCATCTGTGACACCTTATTTCAAGATTGGCATTAGCGTTAGCACCAGATCATTCATCTGTGACACCTCTCTCTTTCTACACTCTATCCTGGTGTTCCTGAATGCCATTTCAAGTCAAGTGTCAACGTGAACACAAGTCCCCCTCTCTGGGACATCAATCTCAACTCTGGGGGTCCGTACTGCTTATTTCAAGATTGGCGTTAGCGTTAGCACCAGATCACCCATCTGTGACACCTCTCTCTCTCTCTCTCTCTATACTCAATTCTGGTGTTCCTGAATGCCGTTTCAAGTTAAGTGTCAATGTGAACACAAGTCCCCCTCTCTTGGACATCGGTCTCTACTCTAGTCTTTAGGTCCTGACTGCTGATTTCAAGATTGGTGTTAGCGTTTACCCCTCTACAAGATTTGTCTACGCTCTATTGTGGTGCTTCCTACTGATTTTTTAGAGTGTGGTGTTAGAGATAGCATCACATCACCTCTCCATGCCGTCCACCTACATGCTAGTTAGGTGTTACTTGCTGCATGAGGAGGTTATAAAGCTGTTCTCTGATTGGCTTATGCAGGGGTTAATGAATCCTTTACATAACAGAAGTCTTACAGTAGGCTTGCGGGTGCACCATGTGAGAGAGAGAGGGAAGATTGAGGAGTCCTGAAAAGGACTCTCTGTAATCTTTCTTAAAGGTTTTGTTTCTTGAAGAAGTCCACTTTACAAGTGGAAATATCGCAGGGAGATGGAGCATGCGAGGAGACATCAGAACTGTTGCAGTCTTGGTGAATTTTTTCTGACTCTCTTGAAAACATTAGAAATTTTTAAAGAAATGTTAGAAAAATGTGAATCAAGTCAGAGTTTGAATGGCTATCAGGAGACAAAATACAATCATGCATGGATGAGACTAAAACTATTATTTACAATTATAAATACTTAATGTCTGACATATTACACTATCACCTCATTGTGTCTTAGCTCATGAAAAGTGCTTCCAAAATATTGTTCTTCCAAACGCCTCCAATGAATCATTGAATGAATATGGAGCAGAAAAATAAGTTATTTGCAAAATTCGTGAAAATGAAACCTCTGCAAAAATAACTGCTTATACAGTATTTGGTCATAGACCTACTATGATAGTTAACCTCAATCCAAGTTGTTAGAAGAAGCTTGATAATAAGAGGTATATGAGATGGGCAGAATCTGTTCCAATGGTGACGAAGATTGAATTCTTTGCTACACACTGTTATAGAGTAACCAAGAAGAGGTAGAGAAAATTCAAACGCAGGTATTTAAGTAGTCATGTTGTGACTTAATAAATTGTAAATATAAACAAGAAGTACTGTAGTGAAAATGTAAATAACCATGCCTTATGAAATGAAATGTACATTGTATTTGTAATCATAAATGCTACTTAAAGATATTCAATTCATACAATATTCTACTTAGTTAGAAATGTATTGCTATAACAATTATGTATTGCTAGACATGAATCTGGCTATATGTTGATGTAGAACATTAATTGTTCTTCAGTTTGTTATGAGTTAGAATTAAATGTGTGCTGAGTACAAACAGGACACTTTAGACAGATGCCAGAAGTCCCAGAAATTTAGAGGTAAATTTTGCTCCTATATACTTAACCAGTGAAGTCCATGTGCATAAAATTTCCCTGTGTGTGTTTGCATATGTGATGCACTTTAAAATAATATCCCTCCAATCATTTTCATGAAAGCCTTGCCTTATGTTTCAGTGAATATGAACAAGGGTTTAGCTTAAAAGTGTGCTTAAGTTCAGTTGAAATTGGTACGTTTACATAATGTATAGGTGGAAAATGTATTAAGTTATCAGTCATGTATTGTTATAAACAATTCATCAAATTTAGCAAAGTGCCCACACCTGAAATATGTGATGTTTATGAGGTGCATGAAATACATGATGTACATGTAGTGAAATTCAGGTTTCTTGATCTGGAAATTTGTTGAGAATCAATCTATTGAGTTGTTTTACTTTCGTCCATTTTGCATCAAGGCGATTAAACTTGCATTGTATCATTTTATTGTGAAATAGATACTGAATATGTAGTCGCCAATATTTAATGCTATTTAATCTGCTTAATATATTAATGTGCCATATATAACGTGATATATTCAGTGATTACTTTATTTATGATTGGATTGTCCCAAGTCAAATGATTCTATGATTTGTTTTGTGATTTTTAAAAAGTAATGTTTTATATATGATAAAGGCCTAAATGCATCAGAGATTAGAATGGTCATTGCAAAGATGAAAATTCAAAGGTGTTGAGTAGAGGTGTTGTGGTATAGTGGATAAGACCCCGGGCTGTAGATCACAAGGTACGGGGTTCAAATCGGAGCCCAGTACTAACATCCTTTGGCAAGATGTAACCTATATTTGCTACTCTCCACCCCGGTGTGGTCTAGTGGATAAGTCGCCAGACTGTAGATCAAATTAATAATATTTCTTGCCACAATAAGAACATGTAGGATTGTCCCAGCTCACTGTTTAGGATAGGTTAACAAAACTAATCATATGTTCCTTGATTCTTCCTGTGTTAGTCTACTTTTTACACCTTGTATAATTTGTTTAAGGTATCTTATATCTATTCATATATTAAAGACCTATCAAAAAGCAAGATAGGTAGATATTAAATTACCAAGACTAATTGGTAGATGATGTGATGAATTGCATATAGCTTATTCAAGTTAAAGTGTATCACCTGAAAAAATTATTTGTGTATAGCTAGAATGTATAAAATCAACCTCAAAAAACTTGACCTGGCATTGTATAGGTAAACCGCTAAAGAAGAAAGGGTGTGTATTGAACTCAAGGCAGACTTTACTTCTGTGCGAGCCCAATTCTGTGTGAGTGTGTACCCGTGCTCTAAGTAGTCTACTCAACACAAAGTTTTACAGTTCACTAAGCGGGTATTTGAACTTCAATATCTCTTTGTAGAAGTAATATTTGAGGCTCATTGTTTGACTAGCAGTATAGCAACATGGAACCCTGTATATCGAGAGCAAAACGTGTTTTGGCGATGCGTACACTTAAAGAGAAGGTTGAGTTCTAGGAAGAGGTGAAAAATAATTTGTGAGCGTTATCATTCTTATTATGCAAATGTGGAAGAGCAATAGATAAGACATGTTCCCTGAAAAGCATGGCTCTTCAAATGCTTTCATATTATAAATATGGCATGTAACATCGTAAAAATCGAATTTTTACGCCACATGTTCGTGTAGTCCCATATACATCTTTCTGTGTACAGTGCTTGCAACTTTACCAAGACTTGGCCAAATTTTTTATCATTTTGACGTTTCCAGAACCTTGCAATACACACAAATACTTATGTGCTAGATGATCAACCTTTCCTGATCAATTCCACGTTTCTCTCACAATGCAATCGCATGACCAGAACTTAACCTTATCTTTAAGTATAGCAATGTGGAACCCTGCATATCAAGAGCAAAACGTGTTGCAGTGATGCGTACACTTAAAGGAGGACTAATTCCCCAGATAAGAGTACATTGAGGGGGTGGTTCACATATGATGATATGGTATCTTTGAAGTGGTAATGAATAGCAAGTGGGAAAGTTGTACAAATCTCCTATGAATGTGTACTCACTTCTGTGTATCAAAAGATTGAGCTCGTCATTATACCTAGCTTTGGATATTTATTGTGTATTTTAGGTTCCTCTCTATGCTTTGGCAAGACGATAATCTACATTTGCCACTCTCCATCCAGGTGTTAAATGGGTACCCTGTAGGATGCGTCTGGCTGGAATGCTCCCCAGGGAGTAGAGAATGTGCATACATTGTGTGCGGGCAAGCCGGAATCCGATGACCGATGACTGTGCTAATAATATATTTGTAAAGCATTAGAGACAATCATTATCAATGTATTAAGCGCTATATAAAAGTGAAATATTATTATTATTCTGTGATAGCCACTGTAATGTTCTAGATATTTTGCAAAAGGGGTAAGCACTTATTGCATCTTCGTTTCTCTACATCAAATACTGTTTTAAAAGAATTCTGGGTATGATCAACAATAGAGTATTTTGAAGTATAACGTGTTTGTATCATCACAATGTCAGTTCATAGATAAAGAACCTAAACAATGAAATTATTCAAGTTCCAGGGCTTTCAACAGTCAATTAGGACAACCGTCACGTTTTCAGTGGTGTGTTTAAAACCTCAGCCCAGATTCGGTTGTAACCAGCTTATATTCACGTTCTGACTAATTAGAAAGGATTTTTAATTTTTAATACATAGTCTATAAAGGCATGTGTATTTTATCTTGTGCAGCTTTAATCACGTTCTTCCTTAATAGTACAGTATAAGCATCAATGTCTTCCACAATATCGTCTTCCATGGGGGTGTTTCACAAAGACTAAGATCAAACTTAAGTTTGCCACTAATTCCTCTAACCATTCCTGGCATTGGTTTCTCAAGGGATATACAAATCGTGGTCACAAATCTACAGAATTAACAACTTTTTGATAGTTCATTATTGAAGGAAACAGTATCATTTAAAGATCATAATTGAGAGACCAATAGTGAGAGCAGCCAGTGGCATGAATGGCCTGCCATAGTTAATTCCAACTTAAAGTCGATCTTAGTCTTTGTGAAACACTCTCCAGATGTTAAGACCAATACATGATCGTCTAGAGGCAGAAGGCTGTTATCTCATGCACTTTAACATGGTGTGAACGCCCTTCTGGCTTTCAACACATCAATTAGCTGCACAGGTTCATTGAGACAGGAATAAGATTATTGAATGAACTCAGTACATGTATAAGAAATACTGAAGTGATTTTCAGTATTATAATGATTTTACTTGATATGCTACTTGTATTTTGATTAGATGGTCAGAATTGTATAATAAAGACCTTGTCAATCTTTTCTAGCAACTGTGATTGAGCATTATGTAAGATTCTAGCAAGTATATTTTGTATTGTTGTACTGTGAAAATGTAGTAGTGCTGCAGTTTATTCAGAAATGTGAATTTGAGAGAGAGAGGGAGAGAGAGAGAGAGATAAAGAAAGAAAGAGAGCGAGAGAGAGAGAGAGAGAGAGAGAGAGAGAGGGGGGGGGGTGGAGGTGGCATGCAAGAGAGGAGAGGGGATGGGGTGGATACATGAGGGGGAGAAATAGAGAGAAAGGGAGGAGAAGTAGGAAGGGCAAAGAGAGACAGGGAGGGGTAGAGAGAGAGGGGGGGGGGGAGGGAGGGAGAGAGAACGAAAGAGAGGGGGAGGAGCTGGTGTCCCACATGTCCCAATTCAGCTACCCAACTCACGTGACTTTGGAGAAAGATTTTTGAAATGAATAAGAAAAATGTGTGTCTATTCTTCTTTGTTTTTGATGAAAACGTGAGGTGCACTTTTTCAGTTTAATGATGTACGCTCATGGACCTAACCATGGAACAAACCAGGAATGAAAATTAAAAAAAACACTTAACTACCATGTGAGTTATGAATATCAGTCATAGTGTGTTCAACCAAGGCAATTATTGGATAATGATAAAATCTAAGATTAATTTGTAGGAAAAGTCATACACACCACAAGAAAGCATTGTTCATTAAAATTCATTTAATCGTCATTTAGTTTAGATACATCTCCGAGGTACATGTATGAACAATGATTACATCAAAGATACCGCAATGTTTTTTTGAAATATGAATTGTTGAATAAATGCATGTATCTCGACCACCTGGACGGGCGGATAGTATTCCCACGAACTTACCCAGATAACGTGGGTATATACCTGCAGTTCAGCTTGGGTGGAATTAATCAATTAATCGTGTGCTGATAACAAGTTAACCTATTGTCTACTGGAACCTGGTGGCTCCTGTATTGAGCCTATGGCAATGAGAGAATTCAGTAGTCAACGGGTTAAGACAACATATCCTCTGAAATGAACGTGTCATACAAACTTTACCAAATGATGCTTAAGTCCCCACTGCATTACGTACAAAGAGATTCGATCATACACAGTATATCTTGCGCGCCCTCTATATAGCAAACAATGCCTATAGTCGGTGACCATTGAGCACATTTGTTTGTTTTGTTTTTTTGTTTTTTTGCTCCCGAAAATTTGAAAATCGCGCTGGCCGCAAATTCGCTCGGGGGGGGGGGGGGGGGGGGGTAGTGCGCACTAATTTTTTTTATATTTTTTTTTTTTTTGGGGGGGGGCGGGGGAATTTTTTTTTCCCAAACAGGTTTACCTATGAGAGTAAAATCCTGCCTCCTGATTGGTTTAGAGGTATACGCATCATGAATATTCATGACTGAGCTGAAAGATACTAGTAGTATTACGCATGCGCGTGACACAAGGCGAAGCTGCTCATGCAGCTCATCGAAATCCAAGTTTGAGTTCGTTGATGCAGCGCAGCTATAGTACGTAGGCTATACACTGCATGCATGGAAAAGCTTGTCTTTGACATGTGTAGAGCCTGTATATATTACTTTATGTCCTTTGTTTTCTTTGGCCAGGTTCATCTGTCACAAAGGAACCAGAACCACTGATATGTTTGTTTGTTTTGTTTTATTTCCACTTATTCATATCAATACAAAGAAACATACAAATAAATATAATGAATAACATGTAAGTTTGACAAAATTTGTTTCTAGTTAAAATAAAAGTTTCATACAAAAGGAAAAAACAGGAGACCACATGTCGTAAGCGTAAATGCTTGAACATGACCGTGGCCTCTGCCGAGTTAACAAAATAAAAGAACAACCCATGCAACTGCATTGTATTCAATGTTAAATAAGATATAAGTGAAGTGATTAAAAGTGAGCATGACTGAATTAATTTTGAGTGAAAATAACAAAACAAATTTAGTGAAATATTTCGTGTTGAGAAGTGCATTTGTGCAAGGTGCAAAAATTAGCTTGGTGGAACAAAAAAGAGACTAATACCGTGATATTAATTGTGTGTTGGTTTCAGTTACGGGTGATAATATTAAATGTTTGTCAAGATATCATGCTCAGAGCAACACAGTGGCTTTGACCCACATCCAACCATCTCATGTCGGACCATCCTGATAAGATAATTCATACCCCTTGTGTGTGTCTATTGTGTATTCTTGACAGCTAGTGTGTGCATTTGTTGCTTATGTGTTTGTAAATACATGAGGGTGGGTGGGTCTGTGTTTATAGAGAGAGAGAGAGAGAGAAAGATAGTGTTTGTATGTATAGCCTATGTGTGAAATTGGAATATTAGTGTGTGTACTGTAAGTGAACTCTTTGAGAAAAAAAATCCGCAGTGTAAAACTATATACACCAAGCACCAGAATAACCAGAAATGTTCACAAACAAACAGACCCCCCCCCCCCTTCCCCCAATAAAAATCCCCTCGCACCACAGCTAGCTCACATACATTTTGTACACCTAAATGGCCAGCAAAACTGAAGTCCACGCGCATGCGTAATACATATACTAGGTACTGCAGCTCAACCACAGTGCTGTGAACTCAGCTCGTGAATATTCATGACGCGTATACCTCTGAACCAATCAGGAGGCAGGATTTTACTCTCATAGGTAAACCTGTTTGGGAAAAAAAAATTCGCGGGCGGGGGGCACGTGCCCCCTGGACCCGTCCCTGCTATCAAACATCGCATTAAACTCCATGACATCAGTGCTTTCTACCCACCCCCCCCCCCCCCCCCACTGAGCGAAATATTGGTCGGCGCGATTTTCAAATTTCGCCCCCCCCCCCTTAGCAAAAAGCTAGATCCGCCCCTGAAGGTTTTTACGTCGTGAGGCCATCTGCCTTTATATCCAAAAAATGTTTCCAAAGTACAACAAACAGTTCTTTCAAAATTGCATTACACATTTAATTCGTTTATGTACTCATTTGTCCATTCATTCGTCCATTCAAAGTTCCCCTAAAAAGCAAACGAAAATACGGGAGAGCCCTCAAATGCATTATCATGTTACAAAAATGAGAAAATCCAAATTAAATATCGGAAATTCATTGGAAAAGTATTTCAAGTAATTTTTCCAAAGATAAAGCTTTAAACAGTTTCATCAAACTGAAATAGATTACAAAGATTAAAAAGGGAAACTAAAATAAAATGAAACCCCCTTCATTATAATCGAAATTGGATTTCTGATGTTCAGTTGAGGGGCTTGCGACAGAAGAAGGCTTGACCCCAATCGCATCGCATATCATTCCAGCGCTGTCGTTCGTCATCGTTGTTGCCATCATTGCGGACACAAACACAGTCCTCGCCACCATTGTTGTCGGGCTGTCCAGGGATCCAGTTATAGTATTCTAGAGGGGTGCCATCTGTCCATTCAAACTTAGATTCCTGATGGGTATCACGCAGACCGATCCAGTATGCCTGTTTGGAGAGATGGTTAACATTGAGTAAAGACTCGTTTAGATATGACATGGTCCTGGGAGGGGATAGGGGGACGTGCCGCTCTAATCTCACTTTTCACACCAACCCCCTCCCCCTAAACAAGGGTCCCATTTTTTTTACAAAAATATGATATCACTAAACATAGGTCAGTTTTTTTCCAAATCTTTTTAAAATGGGCTTGAGCGGCACACTCCCGTCCAAACCAAATCTGAGTTTCCCACCACCGCAAAGAAAAACTGCCGCGATCTTTTGTTTTATATTTCATATTGTTTGTTTACTTGTAAAAGAATAGTTAGCTGCTTGCCACAAATATACTTCAATGAGCTCTGTATATTAAAATTGAATATCGATCTTGTCAAGCTTGTCACAGATTTTTCAGAGTTGTGACACCCCCCCCCCCCCTCCTCGCCCCACCCAACCCGATCCACCACCACCAGAGAAAATTGGATTCGCCACTTACGGAGTCCTTTTGAGTGGGATGATTAACGAGCCCCTTCCATAGCTGGTAGATGGTGTTACCTTCCTCCTCGTTTCGGATGCTGGGCAGGAAACCTCCCAGTCGATTACAAACGCCCTCAGCGTCGTGAAACTTCATTTGATTGCCGAAGTATTGGTAGCAATATTCACCGATCTCCATCCAATACTGGGGACATTTCGTGCAGGCCTCGCCTTCAGAAAGCCAAATAAAGCCGATCAAGAGAACCACCATCAACGGGAACTTTTGTACCAGGGACGCCATTTCGGAAACGCTTCTTCTCTGCGAGGTTCACCTGTTTATGGGTTAATTGAAATATAATGGTACCGTCATCCTATTCTTTACTTTCACTATTTTCTCTCTCACATTCACACCGCCAAGAGGCCCAAGACTGACAACGAAAACATACCGATCAAAACTTCTCATATTTCGCTATGTCCCTTTTCTCAAACTATGAACAGCGGTCCTTATGAATAGCGAGCGGATCCCCTTTGGTCTGTATATTGGTGGGGGCTTTCGGCTTTGGCCACACTTCTGGTACTAGCATAGCTTTTTTTGTAATGAAACTACAGTTGATCTAATATTACATTTTGAACGACATTTCATCGTTGTCTCACATAATAATATTCCGCTAAGCGCTTTACAAATATATTATTACCATGGTCACCGGACTCAGGCCTGCCCGCACATAATGTATGCACATTCTCCACTCCCTGGGGGAGCATTCTAGAAAGGCACCATTTTACTGACGCTCACAATGCTGAGCAAAATACATTAATTTTCGCATCATACTATTTTAACACGTGGGTGGCAAATGTAGATTAACGTCCTGCCGGACGTTACAATTAATGCCGGACCTTGGATGTGAACCCGTACCTTGTGATCCACTACATCACGACACCTCTACATACGATCCCGTAAAAAAGCTGATCAGAAGTATCATAGACAATCTTTAAAAAAACATCGTTGATAACATAACGATCTTAAAGAGAAGGTTGAGTTCTGGGAAGAGGTGAAAATAATTTGTGAGCGTTATCATTCTTATTATGCAAGTGTGGAAGAACATCAGATAAGACATGTTCCCTGAAAAACATGGCTCTTCAAATGCCTTCATATTCTAAATATGTCATGTAACATCGTAAAACTCCGGGGTAGGATTTTTACGCCACGTGTTCGTGTAGTCCCATATGCATCTTTCTGTGTACAGTGTTTGTAACTTTACAAAGACTTGGCCAAATTTCTTATCATTTTGATGTTTCCAGAACCTTGCAATACACACAAATTCTTATATGCAAGATGATCAACCTTTCCTGGTTGATTCCACACCGTTTCTTTCACAATGCAATCGCATGACCAGAACTCAACTTCGTCTTTAAAACATAACTTTTTGAAAATTAACCCCCTCCCCACAAAAAAAAAAAAAAAAAAAAAAAAAAAAAATTAGCATTGATAAACCACTTTAATCTTATTTCTCTCTCATAGAACATGTGCCTCTTCGATGGAGATTTATCTAAGACCTCTTTTATTAAAAATCTTATAAACAAATAGGATCTCATGAGAACAAACCTATTCCACCAGATTAGCGAATTTCAGTGTTGTCTGCTATACACGATATACAAACTCCCACCATTCTCAGTATTTAAACCAACCATCTGGTTCGGATACTTTCACACCACTGTTATTGATCGAACTTGCCCTACAAAGGAGACATAATCATGATGATGGCACAGGACAAGACCAAATTATTGGTAGATGCAGGGAATAAAACAGAATGACACATTAAATAAAATTACAGCATAAAAACATTTAAAAAACGTAGAATCTGTAATAAACTTACAAGAAATATTCAGACAGATGTCAACGCGTAGGACCTCAGCAAAATAATGACATTTCGAAAAAAATTCGACACTGACATTGATGCCCCGTGAGAAAGCGCTCTTCTTTATTCAGGTGACCCTATAAGATAAGATATCATGGTGTTTTTGCACTCGAAGCTTTGAACTTTCTTATCTACATATTTTCTATAAAGGCAAAGGCATACGGGAATATTTTTGCCACTGGGATTGACGCTCCTTGCCTGAATATCAACATCTTAGAAATGAAAGAATCTTTGTTATTGTTGATATGAAGAAGAGAGGAAAAAAAATCGTCATAGCTCAATTTGATGCTATAATGAGAGAGGATGTGTGTGCTGAAAGCTGGATCAAAATCCATGTAATCCACCACTAGAACTTGGCTTTTTGGATACAAATTTGCTTTATTCTTCATTATTGACACCAGATGCAACTATATGGGCAATTATTTTGTTCATTCTATGTATTTTGGAGAGTTTTCTTGGAGAATACATTTTGATATGCAGGCATGCCACTGGAGTGAATACCATTTCAGTCCCACTTGTGCATTTCTATGCGAGCAGTAACTTCACTACTTTTTTAGTTTGGTGTTCTCAACAAACACGATTGTGGACTGGACCTTACTACAAGATAACATCAATATCATCAGGAGTGATAAGTGTTGCTACTATCTTTGTTTCAATCAAAATCATGATTCATGCTGTTGGATGTTTTTGAGATTTTGAGTGCTCTTTCAGCCCTTGCTTTGACCTTGAAATTGAGTGAATAGGCCAGGTCTTGTATCTGTACAACATTACTTAACTGAACTGAGTGAACTTTGAATTTTGTCTGTACATAACTGTATTCAACGTGAGATGGCTACCCGCAAAGGAAACAAACCACCTTCTACTACTACTAGAATCAGACAAACTAGAGGAAGTGTGAACTTAGATGAAAAGCAGTCGACAAGCGCATCCAAATCAAAAGATGATAAATGCTGTGGCTCATGTAGACTGATCGTTTTGTCTGATGATTATGCCATTGAATGTGAGTTGTGTAATTTCTGGTTCCACTGCACATGTCAAAATGTCTCAAGCAAATTATATGATATAGTCAATGAGGAACCAGAATCTGTCCACTGGTATTGTCACATCTGCAACGGAACAGCACGGAGTATGCTAAATGCAATGGCACAGCTCCAGACCCAGCAAGCAAATTTACAGAAGGAGGTAGAAGACATGAAAAGGGTGATGCAGGATTACAGAGAAGAAAGTGTAGACACCTTCCATCAAATGACAACAAAGTTGGAGGAGGTGAAGAATGGTATGATCAATGCAGAAGGTGCAGCCAATTCTTTTCAGCCTGAAGCTGTTCACATTGAGCTAAACAAACTGGTGAAAGAGAAATTTGATAAAATGGAAGAAAAGGAAAAGAGAAAGGGCAACCTTATACTCTTTGGAATTCCGGAGTCTACCAGTATCGAATCTGGCACACGAAAGGCAGATGATGAGAAAAGGTTTCGAGATATGATCGGAAGTAAGCTTACCAATGATAAGATAGAGATCAAGGCATTATATCGACTTGGGAAGAAAGACGGCGAAAGACCAAGACCATTGAAAGCAGTTTTGAACAACCAGTCCATCAGAGATGAGGTATTAAAGACGTTTAGAGATGGAGGCTTGAATCTTATAGAATATCAGGAGAGATCGGTACAGATATCTAGAGATCGTACTAAGGCAGAAAGGGAAGAGTACAGGAAACTACGTGAAGAGTTGAAGTATCGATTGGAGAATGGAGAGAAAGACTTGGTCATTCGAAATGGAGTGATCAAGACGAAACAGTCTTTTCGCCACCCAGGCGAAGAGTCTGGATAGAAAACAGAATTCATCAAGTCACAAGGGCACCTACACAAGCACCACTAGCACCACCAGCACTGGCCACAACACCTTCTGCAGCAACATCACAGTCACAGGAGAAAGGTGCAAAAAACTTAAAGATAGTGAGGGGGGTTATCACAAAGGTGAAGCCTCCCACAGACCAAGGACCGTAACGAAGCAAACCATCACATGCACAAATGTACATAGAGCACCCTTAAAGCACTACACACATTTGGAAGAACCAAGAACTTTGATGGAAAGCCACCACGAAGAGGATCATCCAAATTATTCTGATATAACAGCACAAGAGACACATGGTAGCAAAGAAGCAGGTATAAATGTGTATAAACTGAGTACTAAGAGATCAGAATTAAGATGTAGTCTAGAGGAACCAACCACTTTGGAGGAAAGCCACCACAAAGAGGTCTCATCAAATGTTTTCAATACTAAACAAAAAGAACAATTAAGACGAAATGCAGGCCTGAGGAAATGCAACTCAAACAAAAGAAAAGGGAAAGTGAAAAACTACATAGATGAACAAGGACCTCTAACAGAAAGAAATGATGGAGGCACAACAAGTACCCACGATGACCTTAAGGATCAAGTGAAACAAGGAAAATTAAAGGATACTCACGCCAAATCCACAAATGCCAGGAAAAAGTTGATGTGCATCTTTACCAATGCACAAAGCATCACGAACAAAGTAAATGAACTGTCTGCCGTAATTGAAGCAGAAAAACCAGATCTGGTCAGTATAGTAGAAACCTGGTTGAATGACAAGACCACAAATGCAGAAATTCAAATGCCAGGATACCAAATCACAAGACTAGATAGACAAAGAGGAGCCCATGGAGGAATAATTTTATATGCAAGAGATGGCATTGAAGTGCAACCGAGAGAGAGCCAAACACTAGCTGAATATGACGAAGCACTATGGTGCGATATCTCAAGTAAGGATGCAGCCCTTGACTTACTTTTGGGCATAGTGTATAGGAGCCCAAACAATTCAAATGACCAAAATGACTGTCTGAATCGAGTTTTGATGCAATTAAATGATGAACATAAAGATATAATGATTGTCGGCGACTTCAACTACAGAGACATTGATTGGGAAAACATGCAAGCTGCTTCAAGCAAATCAGGTGCATTTCTAGAAGTTATACAGGACAATCTATGGTGTCAGCATGTGACTCAACCTACAAGGCTTGATTCAATTCTGGATCTTGTCATCACATCAAATCCTGACATGATCGATGAAGTGGAGGTCCTCGCACATCTTGGAACCAGTGATCATAACATGTTAAGATGGGAAACCAACTACTATGTCCAACCATGTGTACCTCAACCTAAGAGAGACTACAAAAATGCTGACTTTGATCAAATCAGAACAGAACTAAAAGAAATAGATTGGATAAAGGAACTTGAAAACCAGACGACTGATCAAATATGGAACACAATTGAAAGAAGGTTGAAGCAGTTAATGCATGATCATGTACCATTAAAAAGGCAATC